CCTTCGTAGGTTATATGTATCTTTATTTTACTTCTACAAAACATAACCTATAACGTTCAAGAGATGGTTTGTCAGACCACTAATTAAGTCATATTTATTTCCATGTATGAAAGATTATATTAAGAAATTTATAAATTCGAAATATCAAATTATTTTGAAATATTTGTAAGAAGTATTAAGAAGCACAATCTTTGCTTTCCTCATGCTTATATCATGAAAATGTATTAAAAGCTGGTTTTTAAATATTAATGGCTATTTCGAAAATATTTTTCTCTAAGACCGTCTTATAAATCCAGAAAAGGTCTTAAAAGGGGCAGAATAGAATACTCTATAGAATGTGGTATACCAGTTTTCATAACAATGATTGTTAGTAGTTGATAGTACTTTCACAAAAAAAAAGGAGTGTATGCTTCGTAGTCATTCTTTTGCCTTTTTGTTCGTGACTTAGACGAGTAATGGCATCGCAAAAAACTGAATCAAGTTTCTATAAACCCTTGATACTGCACTTTTAAAAATTCTTTTCTGGATCATTGAGACGATATTAGATACAAAAATTTTCAAAATAACAATCGGTGTGTAAAAACAACTTTTTATTGTTTTCATAATCTAATGACAAAGGAAATCAAGGTTGTACTTCTTGGTGTTTTTTCACAAGCGCTTCGAAATAACTAGAAATAAATATTTTATGAGATCTGAATTAATTGGTGTTCTAGCGAACCATTTCTTGAACAGTATATGTTGTATCTTATCGAAGTAAAAGAAGTATACGTATAGCTTTTGAAGGAAGCGACGAGAATCCATATTTTTTCAGGGTTTTTACCAGGACATTACGTAACATTTGTAGACGAAAATTCATTGGAATCTGAAGGGTATCTGAAAAGGTTCTCTCGTTCAACAGTAACTTCAAAAAAAATTTCTTTCAATATTAAACAGGTGAACCCACCAGAGACAAGCTCGAAATTCGGAGTTCAGTTGAGTTTTTTTACTCCGACTCCGACTCCGAAATTTTTTTCGTCTTAATTCCGATTCCTACTCCGATTCCGAGAATTTCTGTTTTTTGATTCCGATTCCGACTCCGACTCCGGCGGAGTCGGAGTCGGAATCGGGTTTAGGACTCCGGTGCAGTTCACTAATTGAGGGTGAAATCTTTAACAATTACTTTATCTATCATTTTGTAACATATGTACAAAATGTAAACGTCTAGTACTTCTCATTATGAATGTTTGTAGATCTTATATATCAACAGCAATAATTAAAAATAACTTTGGATCACAATGTTCACATTGAATGCTTATCATTTTATTCAACTACTTTGTTACAACCTCTCGATGTTGTAACACGATCAAAAGTAATAAAGATATGAAGAAAACTGTTGGAAACATATAATCATCGAAAAATGCAAAAACAATCGATAAACCACAATTTACTTTACTAGTAACTTTTAGTTTTTATTATGCCAAAAAGATATGTCATCATTTTTAGATTTCGAAAATGTTTAAGAATTTTTTATTATCAAGTCACGGTATTAATGATTTCCTCAAATCTGGCATATATCCTTTTGGTTTTCGAGTCATCAGAAAAGAAAAGTTTTTACCACTACCAACACTAATAAGAAACTCGTCGTATCAACCGCTTGCTCATTCAACTTCTCGTGAAAATTTGAATTTAAACATTAATAACTTACCATCAAATGTTATTTATTCTACAGCTAGACTGTCTTCATGTCCAGATATTTTGTTACATGGTGTTATGTGTGATATCTACATTGTTATTCACGCTATTTCTTTTCTATATTTCTGTCGTATTTTTTTTCTTCTTTTGTTATACCTCGTAATATATATGGTGATATACACCCGACTGGTGTGGTTCACTCTAGTTTTCTTTAAATAAATGTTATATGTGTCCTCAAAATGACCTCACATTTGCCTTTAATTTTATTCTGAGAGAAGGAAAGCATAACACATGATAAGAATGTACTAAGAACATTAACCTTCTTGTTGATCATACTTTTCTAAATCAAACTTCATTGAACAAAAATATTTTCTTAACAACATCGAGCTCGACTTTGAATCATACTACATCTGATCTGCCTAAATCAAGTATGCCGTGAACGAGTTTTCGGAAAATACATAGGGTACCACTACAAAACTTTTCTCGTCCAGTTCTTCTAGCTGTAATTTGAGGACAAGTATTCTATTTTAACACTCAGACATATTTATGAATATATGGAAAATTTTAGATTTTCATGTCTTACGCACTGTTCTATTTTATTCATTTCTTTCAGATCACTCTCACGTTCTTTTTGATCTAGATTTTCAACTACCATGTACACAATTTCGCATAATGATTTTATACAACTGAAAAATGGGTTTAGCATAACGACAAACATGCTCGTTTAGAGCAAGCACGGAAGAGAGGGCCAAACATCTTCAGGCCGCACAGTTTCCAATTGATTTCATGAGCTTCAGCAAAACAATTTTAACGTTGAAAATACTACCCGTCTAGACCATCGACGAACATCTATCAATGAGTAAACGATTGATGCTGTACGAATAATAATTGAAAATGATCTTCGTTCAACATATGAACAAATAGAAAACACCTTAAGTGTCAATTCATCATCAATTTATTCAATTACTCATTACTATTTGAAGAAACGCAGATTTTGTGTTCGGTGTGTGCCATGTCAGTTAATTGATGTCCAAAAATAGTGGTGGGTACAATTTCTCCGCCATCCGCTGGAAAGATTTGAACAAGGCCAATTCTGTCGTGTGCTCGACATTATAGCCGACGACGAATCATGGTTCTATCGTTATGATTCAAAAACAAGAGTAGTCAAAAGTTTGCATGTCAAAACAAGTGATTCACGTCCATCAAAGTTCATTGCAACAAAAGTTTAGGCAAAAGAATGATGGCTACTTTGTGTATGAAATTTGGTTTGATCAAGTTGGCACTATTAAACACTGGTGTAATGCTCAATGCAAGCTGCTACGTCAGCAGCTGTCTACTACAAGTCTTCAAAATTGTATCAGAACGAAGATAAAAGAGCGATCTTTGAAGACGTAAGTAAAGTTAACAGTAAATTCGAATTTTTTGGGGAAATATTGGCCTCCAGACTTGTGCCAAAAAACGTACTGTCTGTGCCAGAGGGGGTATCGAATATACTGCAGAATATATATCCTTCAAATGCTTTTTATCGTGAGAAATAGCTTAAAGAATTCAAAAGATCTACTTTCAATTCTAATACAGGTGCTCAATGTAAGTTTTCGAGGGCTACCTGAACTTGCTAGCTATATCATTGCAGGTAGTGCCTGTAGCATGCCAGGATGACTCTTTAGCATCTCAGGTGGTGTCTCCGCTGTCCCAGATGCTACCTATAGCATTCCAGGGGATGCCTATGTCGTTTCAGGTGATGTCTGTAGCATCCTACATGGTGTCTGTAGGACCTGGAATGCTACGAATAGCATGCACAGGTGCTTCTCTTAACCCTTTCGAGTCGATGAGTCTCAGTGATGGGACCCGCCATATTTTAACAAAAAAATGCCTAGAAAAACACTTTCTTTTCCTTTTTCCTTAGGTAGCAGGTTATGTGTAATGCATTATCTGCTCTCTCTCTGCTATTGTTCGAATTATTTATTGCGTAGCATGATGTTTCTTGTTGAAACAACCAAGACAATATAATCTGTCACAATCAGAACAGAAGGTTTGTATTTTCTTTGCTGTCGCATTACTTGCTTCTCTTGACTATTGTTGTCTGATTTTCTCGTAGCAGCCAGCACAGCGTTAATGCCTATTTGATTTACAAGAAAAATTATGACAGAAGCCATATGACCATGCTACAATTTCGTGAAAGTCTTTTTCGATCTTTACTGCTTGGTACGCCATTCGAGTAGCTGAAACCTGGTCCGAAGCAACAATCAACAAGCCAAATGAAGCGCAAACTCGCTGATTACAAGCTCGAAGAAAAGGAAGGGTCGGACCACGATGCCCAAAGATGCTATGCTGACTATTACGAGAAAATCAGACAACAACAATCAAGAGAAGCAAGTAATACGACAGCAAAGAAAATAAAAACCTTCTGTTCTGATTCTGACAAATTTTATTGTCTTGGGTGTTTCAACAAGAAACACCATGCTATGCAATAAATAATTCAAACAATAACAGAGAGAGCACATGATACATTACACATAACCTTCTGCCAAAGGAAAAAGGAAAAGAAAGTGTTTTTCTAGTCATTTTTTTTGTTAAAATATGGCGGATCCCACCGCTAGGATCCATCGACTCGAAAGGGCTAATATATAAAAACATTGAATTTATTATGTATGCCAACGACAACATTTATCATTTCGACATATTCATTTTTGGAACTTTTTTATTTCAATATTTTCCTTTAGGACACATTGTCCATTAAGACTCTATACTTTCCTACAGATCGAATATTAATGGAAAAGTTTTTTTTTTATAATATCTATCATGTTCGAATACATTGGCCCGCAGTTATATAATGCTTTTCATCCTACGACTTTTTTATGGACTTTTTCGAGTTTTTAAGGTAAATTTAGTCTTATTATTATCGAAATAAAATTTATTAAAAAATATTTTCATCTATATATTAATTTCTTAGTATCTTATTTATATTCTATTGGGTTAAATAGAATTATTCTAGTTGATATAATCTGTAAAATCTTTGAATATTCCGAAATAATTGTCTTTAAATAAGTATCTGTCTACAATAGAAATAATTCTCTTTTAAGAAATAAATTTCGATTTTTTCAACTTTTATATAAATTCAATATAAAATCTTGTTAAAATTCAATCATTTATTAACCATATTAAATAGTTTCTTTAATGAGTATATAAAAAAAAAAAATTCGAATAACTAACATTCGATATGAACTTTAAAATAAAATAATAAATAATAATTGTTTTGTTTTGTTTTATTTATGTTTAGAGTTAAATAAGAATTAATTATTTGAATAAAATAATGAAAAAAAAAATCATTACAATAAACGTACTCTATATCCTTGATTACCCAAAACAAGATAAAAACACCAAGGAAATAGTGTTTTAGCTTGATAATCAATTTGAATAGGTTTTGTTTTTTCATGTGTTCTTTCATTTAATAAAGTTAAACTTGCTTCATCACAATTAATAATTAATTGAATAATATCATTTTCAATAGGAGTTGCTGGCCATTGAATCCTTTTTCCCACTCCATTTATCCAAACATCTCCATTTGTTGACCAACCACAAGCTGAACGTAATTTATGATATCGAACATCACCATATGCGGATTTATCCTTTGCTGAACATATTCCAATAAATATCCATGGAGACCATTTAACATTATTCATGTCTCTAAATTTTTATTTAAATAGTTATTTATACAAAACAAAAAAAAAAAACTTACTCAATTTTTTCAAATTTCATTCTAATATGATGAATACCATTAGAGTAAGATTGATTTCCTCTAATATAACCATATGTTTCATAATCTCTTTTTTCACAAAGACGATTATTTTCACGAATTCGTATTGAACGGCTTTTTTCTTGAAATTCTATTGATGTTTCGTCTACAGTCATTTTATTGTTAAATGTTTTTCGTTTTTTTTTTTATTTGAATAATGTTAAAAATTTGTGTCTATTATTGAAAATAAATTATGTCTTTATGTTGTTTTTATTTTCGTGTTCTTTTTTAAATTGAATATCTATCAATATTTACATTTCATTGCTAATAGAATAAAGAGAAGAAACAACTTTTGTTTTTTCTTTTGCTTTTTATTAATGTCATTGATAATTTTTCTTCATAAATTATTTATAAAAATAAAAGAAAACAATGATTGTTTTAACATGTTTTCACAATATATTCATCGAAGAAAAAAAGAAATTTTATTTCGACTTTCGACATCAATCAAATTCAACTAAATATCAATAGGCTAAACAATTTTTTCTCAACTATTATCAACAAATACGAAAACACAACGTCTTTTTTCTGTTATATCCTACTCATCTGAACTTTTTTCGATGCAAAAAAAAGGTTAAATAAAATAATTTCCATTTATCAAAGAAATAAATGACCTTTCTCTTTTACATCACCTCTTACTAAATCCTATCAATGTTATTTTTTCACATTTTTTCTACGAACTATTTTTCGACTTACAATGTAATCATATTGAGAAACAATAGTCAATATATCTCAATCGATAATTAATTACTTTCACAAACATAACAAACTGTCATTTTAATTTTAATTTTACTTGATTTCTTTTTTTTTTATAGTCAATAGGGTTTTGCCGATTGACATAGGACTCATGTTTTCGATTATTCCTATTCTCAACGAAAACATGAAATAAAATATGTCTTGACATTAGAGAAGTTTCTATGCAATACTAAAACTGTTACTCCTCTTGGAAACTGGCAGACTTTTATCGATCGGTTCAAATACACTAATGAAACGGTGAAAAACTCGTGTCGATTTAATAGTTCAATTAAAGAAGAATTTTGTTATATTGAGAAAAGTTTATAATAAGAGTACGACGAAGACATACAGTATGAAACTTGTTAGAATTCTTGGAATTTTTAATAGTAACAAGAGCTATTTTAGTCTCTTACGACCCATATAGGTTCATACGAAAAACTGAAGGAAAAAATCGTTGAAAATTTTTCATCTAATTATTGACAATAACTGATGTTAAACAATATCTATCCATTGTTTTATTTGATCTTCTTCAATAAACATATGATTTATTAACAATATTTAATATATTTTATGTTTTATTATTTGAAATCATTATTTAACACAGCTTAAGGGTTCACAATTCGTCAAAGTATAATACTGACCATGGACAGATAACATGAATTATAAAGCACACTTTTATTCTAGACTTTATATAATTAGCTTTATTTTATAACTCGATATTTTTACAGTTACATAATGCCACTAGTTAACATAACTCTCATAATAGAAAAGAATCTTTCTCAAACTCTTCTATCGAAACTCTCAACTGGATACTTAATTTACACGGATATTAACCTCTTATGCTGGAAGAACTGATTTTGACCATAGGAAATTCTTTAAGTCTAATTCAAGGCGTTCATCATACTTTGAAAATCCGTGAATTCGATATTTGGAGCTGATATTTTCATAAATTATAAGAGATTTTCTAGTTGGACACTTTCAACTTCGTATATTTCAGTCTTTAAACTCATAGAAATCGGTAAACAGCAATAAAATAGATTAGCTTCGGTGCCTTGAAAACTGATTAAAAAACCGATAAAGATCGACGAGAAGTCAACCAATCGGTTTGCTTATGTCACCGATTAAAAATCATTGTTAGAAAAATGATAAGTACGACTGATGTTCAGGTAGAGTCTCAATTAGAAATAATGAGAATTTTCATCAAATGACTAATCAATTCAGTTCTATAAGAGAAAAAAACACACCTTCTGACATATTCTCTCTTTTTCGAACGAAAACTGAATGGAATATCAATGAGATCTATTTAGTCTGTCAACAACAATATATTCTCATGTTTTTAATAGATAGAGAGAGAGCTCGTTGAACTTTATTGTTTAGACTAGTTATCTTATTGATCTTTTACTGTCAAGTCACTATATTGACTACTTATAGTTTTCTTCCTTTTTCGAAACTATGGATAAATTAATTTAACAATCGAAGAACCAGTCTAGAATCTATTCTCCTAGTCATGCAACTATTAACAATATTTCAATATAGGTACCACGCTTGCTGTACTGAATAAATTTAATCTGATTTATTTATTGATGAAATTTTAATGACGATTAGACATCGAATAAGAATTGTTATTCTACAATGACGGAAGATTCTCGTATACGATATGCAATCAATATCAAAATGATTAGAATGACAATATTGTCAGAGTTGTGTCTCGAAAAGTAAAGAATCTTGAAAGGTAAATATTCTTGATTAGTCTCAAATCTCTCATTTCTAGGTATGATCGAAATCTTTAACGATAAATAATCATATGGAATTTGTTGATCATGGCGAGACGTTGATTATCTTAAGATATTTTTCACAGTGACATTATCATAAAAACTGAAAATATATAGGTGAGCGTTTCCAGAGAAATCTGATTATTGTCATTATTTGTGTTGAGATATATTACCAAGCGAAATGATTATTGGCACTAGCTGAAAACGAGTTGAAATTGGTTTTTATTCGTCGCCATGGATCCCTAATCTTGACTATTAATTTATCGAAGAGAATCTCTTTTATAAACTCCTTCTAAACAGTAGGGAAACAATGTTGAGATTTATTTGAATACTGATTAAGATTGACTAGAGTCGAATAAGTCTGATTAGGAATTAAGATAAATATATATTCTTAAAAATTTAACAATTATCTGTATATGAATTTCTATGAAATTTTAACTTGAATTAGTCCTTTTGTCTTATTGTTATTATTATTGAAAGAAAAAATCAAAAAAACCTTTTAAGATTTTCCTTTTTTTTTTTCATAGAATATTCGAATGAGAGAAAAAATCAATTTGACCATTAGTCTAAAAAAAAATATTCTCTTAAAACTACGTCTTCATTTTCAATTCTTAGAGATTTTTTTCTAACGATTATTGATTGACATATATAAAATATTCTTAAAACATTTTATAAAAACACATTGGAATCGATATCTTAAAGAATATTTCCTATTTATGAAAAATGAAAACATTTTTTAAAATATTTTCATTGAACAAGAGAAAAAGAATTAATTACTTCAAATATAATCATAAAAATGTGAGTAATACATTAAAAAAATTGCATTGATTATCTAATTTTATTTAATTGTTTCGAGAAAAAGTCTTGACTATAGATATTGTTAATCTATTTGATAGTATTATCTTTCGAAATCTACTTAGATACAAATCGTTTGAAATAGTCTATTAAATATAAGAATAAACAATTAGAATCAAAAGAATTTCCTCAACTAAAATCATTTAAAATAAAAAAAAGAATAATTTCTTGATTTGTTTAGAACTTCGTTGTTTCATCCGGTGAATTATCTTCAATTGGTTTTATTGTACATTGTTGTTTGTCATCAATTATATTTAGTTGATTATCATGTTTTATTTCATTCTCATATCGAATTAATTGTATGAGAAAACCATAATTGGGAGCAGCGATAGGTCGCCGTTCAAGTAAATATTCATAAGCTTTTTCTAAACTTTGTTTATCAAATCTAAAAATAAAAATAAAAATAATATTTAATTTAATTAAAATAAAATAAAAACCTGATTAAATATGCAAGAATAATTGAAGATGATCGAGATATTCCAGCTTGACAATGTACTAATACTTTATCATTATTTTGTTTACATTTAAATAAAAATTCATTTGTTTTATCAAAACATTTTCGAATATCTCCTTTAAAATCATCTTCTAAATCCTTTATCCATAAAACATTAAACATCTCATGAATTTGTTTATCTAATGGACAATCACACATATTTATTATATATTTTATATTAAGATCCAAAAGTAAATTAACATCAATAGCATGAGCTAAATCTCCATGATAAAGAAAATCATCGATAACAATTGATGGTTTATAAGAATTTCCTCTTTGTTGAATCATTTTTTCTTTTTGAATTTTTAATAATTTTTCTAAAGATTTTAATTCATGATCAGTTGCATTCAATTCATTTCTAAGACGATCTTTTATTGATATATCTATTAAATTATTGTTTTCACAATGATTTTCACTCATAGAATTTATCTAAAATATTTTCAAGAATTTATCATAAAAATTTATTTTACTTATTCAAATTGATTAAAATTTAAACAAAAAAAAACAAACATTTTCTTTTTTCGTATATTTCAAACTAGTTTATTCGATTAAAATGAAAAAAGTAAAAGTAAAATAATTCTTCTTCTAAAATAATAACTCAAAAAATGACATTGGTTTGTTTTTTCTAACCAATTCAAAAGTAGTCAAATGATTCTACCGTCTTCCTTCATTATTTATTCTCAATTTTCAACTTTAGCGACATTAAATTCTTGCAAATAGAAATAACTAAAGAGACATGAAGTATTCAAAAAATTATTTACTAAGATTATCAATCGAATATTGTCTATCATATTATTTATAAATGGTTGATTTATCTAACATATATTTCGATTTTAATCTTTAATGTCAATCTTCGAAAAACAGAAATCATTTATCTCTCTCTGACATTTTATTTTCTATATCGTTTTATTGAAAAAGAAGATTAACTTTCAACATCAAACATTGTTTGCCGTTTTTTTCAATAGATTTTTTTTTCCCTTTCGCGTCTCAAAGATCTCTCCACCATTCTACATGGTAGAAAGCTCGACAAGCTTTTTAATCTAAGAAAAAATTGCGCTCGAAAACTTAACAGAGCCGGAATTTTCAATTTTAATTTACTTTATGAAAAAAACCAAATGTTTTTCCGTAGAGACATCCGAATTTTTTGAATTTGTTTTTAGTGAAACATTTCATCCGAACTCAACAAATTATATTTGAAGAAACAACCCGAAATCTCTATGATTAGATTTCGAGGAGAAATCCTTCTCACAAGAGGAACCACTTTTTCACTGTTGACCTTATCATACCTTATGAATAAATTAACAGTTTTCCTCGAAATTTTTACTCGGAACTATTAACAGTTGGATACACATATTCTGAGACTTTCAGTCAGATTTATCCTTTTCGGGCATATCCACGTTTCTGATAGGATGTGAGCCTTGATAGTCAACAAATTTCTGTCAGATAAATATGATGAAACTTAATTATATTAATTCAAGGATTATTCTAATTGTCAATAATACTCGTTTATAGGAAAACGAAAAAAGCAACAAACATCATATCAAAATAATATTTTTATTCTAAATGGAAAATGAATAAATATATCTCGTTAACAATGAAAAGATCACCTTCGATAGAAATTCTTTGCCTATCTTATTTCATTATAGCCAGAACTTATTTTTTTAGACCTGTCCTGCACATTTCTTCATACTATCAATGGTACATCGATTAGCTTGAAAAAGAATTCCTATTTATCTCCAAACGAGTGACATCACACCAAACCATACTCTTTCATTTTTATCTATTAATTAGAATAATTAACAAATAGGATTTCGTCGATCTTGTAGAAGAAACAAACAATCGAACATTTATCAATGAATTTGTTCGATTTGAAATCTTGAGAAAATTTTAAATAGAACTCTTTTAATTTGAATCTATAAAATATAAGTAAAAATACAAATAAATCAATTTACTATTCTCTTCTTATTTATATAAATAACATTAAATAATGAGAGTTTTTCATTTGCATAGATCCTATCTTATTAGAATTAAAGTCTGCAATAGGAAGTTTTGTTTTTTTAAATTCATATTCTGATTTGATTTACTCAATTGACTTTAATGTTGAAGAACTATTTTAGAATATATCAAAAAAAAAAAGATATTATTTGAAAAAGAAATCGTCTTAACTCAAATGATCGATAGATTTTCTTTGACTTCAAACGTTAAAAAAATTCAAATCCAAAAAATTTTTTCACTTAAAATAAAATATGCAGATTGTTTGAAGCAACTTTAAATATTTTCATAATTGTTCTAATAAACCTTTTTCTTTTGTTTTCGTTTGATACGATCAACATTTCGTTAAGTATAACCAGAACTGAATCAATAACAAAATCAATAAATATAAAACGATATAGAAATTCTAATTCACAATTTCTTTCCTTTATAAAAAAAACTATTAATATCAACGAATTGTTCAACTGTATTAATCCTATATTAAACATTGATAATCAATATATTATCTGATTATTACTTTTTTTTTGCCAGTTTGGTAGAAAATCAATTGAAAATTTTACATTATCTGTTAATAATCTGTATAGATTTAAATTAAAGCAATATTCTTCATTTAAAAATGAATATTTTTATGATAGATTTATTCAAATTCGAGATAAATATTCTTGATTTTTATTTGACAAAGTTGGTTGGTAGTGTCGCTATCTTCGACCACTACCTCTTTCTCTTTTTTATTTTATCTCCCTCGATTGGTTACTAAACCTATTTATGTTTGTTTACATAGAGTAATAGTTGTAAAGAACAAGGTAAAGAATAAAAATAATAAGTATTTCGTTGTTCCTATAAATTTTTATAAAATGTGAAATCTGTCTAATATGATTTAAAAATAAAAAGAAAGATAATTAATGACGAAGACAAATATTGTTTTTCTTGTTAAACGAAAAAAAAAAATTTGATGATGAGATAGAAGAAAATGTTTTATGTTAATCTAGTTTAACAATATAAGCAGTCATATTATCTGATGATTCTTCTTTTAAGCATTGATCAAATAATTCTGATATTATTTGATCTAACCTTGAATTTGATGCTCGTTGAGAAACAAATAATGCAACTTGTTCATTATTCATAACATCCCAAATTCCATCAGAAGCAATTATCAGATATGATGCTGATGAATCTCTTGGATATTCAATTATATCAGGTAAAGCTGGTATAATATGTTTATCTAATGAATAATCTCCCAATGCTCGAGTTGTTGCAAGTTGATTTTCAACACGTAATACATCATTACCAGATTTTGTTATATGACCTCCTGCTTTACGTATACGTTCTTGTTCTTTTCGAACACTTGGTTTATGATCTATATATAAAAGATTTATTAAGAAAATAAATATTAATATAATAAGTAAATTACCTTTTGTAGTTGATAAAACGTGTCCATCTTTTGATATAATTATTCCACGAGAATCTCCAATATTAATTAAATAAATATTTTTTGGACCAATTAATGATGCTATCTAAAATATATGTTTATTAAATTAAAAAAACAAAAAAATCTTTTTTAAAATTTTGATAAATCCATACACAAACAGATCCACTATTATCTTGAACAAATTCACGTAAATGTTTATCCAATTGAATAAATGTTTTTTTAACAATATCATTAAATTGAGCAATATCAATCTCAATATTAGATTGCAATTTGCTAAAAGATTCCAAAAGATATTTACCAATAAGATGAGCAGCATTTTTTGCTGTTTCAATTCCATTATGACCATCAAATATAGAAAAAAAAGCCCAATCTTTCCATAAATGATTATCGAATGGCATTAAATATTTCGAAAAATCTTCATTTGTTTTTCTCCATCCTTGCATTGAACCAAAGCCAAATACTTCATTACTATATAATTCTTTTTTTATACACGGTTCATCTAAATATAGGTCATTTGATGAGGTAGTACGTTCATTTATTTGAGTGTCTTTGGACATTTTACAATATAGAATCGATTATCAATAGAATTTTACTGAACTAGTAGTCGGTTTATGCTTTATATACCATCACTATTGTACTCATTCACCTCGTTCTCTTTCTTCGCATAGATAAAAAAAGAGGAAAAAAAAATTATTTGTAAAGAGTATGCCTACTAAATATTTTCCATCCATGTTATTTTGTACTTGATAACCTTCTTCTATTGTTCTTTTAACCAGTTAGTCTTCTCATGGAATCATCTATCAACATGTTTGTTGATTCTGTAAATCCATGAAGATATGATGAGAAGTCATAAAAAAAAGACAATCACTCTTCTATTATAAATCTTCAATTTTTTTATATGACTAATCAAGAATGATAGATTGATCAAAACTCTTTTCCATACTGACTTGACTTTTATACATCATTCTTATAGTTTATTTCTTTTTTTTTTTTTTTTTGAGTTGTAAAATCGAAATATTTCTATAAAAATAATTCTCAAACAATTTATCAATCGAAACTGCCGATCATATTTCATCATTATTCTGAAGAGGATTTTTTTACGATCTATTTACGTATCATATTTCATTCATTCTTTATCGAAACAACTGAAAAAGTCAAAGGCATGCTCTTTTTCAGAGATATTTAACATGATTATTTTCTAATTTGTTTTTTTTTTTGAAAACTTCATCTCCAGGTAAATCACGTATAGTCCGATTCGGATGAAAAATAATAGAATGTTAGAAGCATAAATTTAATATCTACATCCAGAAACCGATTTTTGTGGTTGTGGTTGGAACAGGATTGCTAGATCGAAAAAGTTAGAGATAGGAATTTTAACGATGGAAATTAGAATATTTTTTATATCAGTTTTGAAAATAATTCAGAAAGTAGTTATTTGACATTTATATAGAAATCGAAATTATTTTTAATAAAATATCTTTTGCTCTATCTCTATTTTATGTGAAAATTCCTAGTGATTCTTCAACTTCATTTATACTCATATTCAATTCGTCGAACTGATCAATCATATCTGAATTTAATTCAGTTTAACATCTTACAATTATCATCTGAACAAAATCCTTATTAAACTTCAAACTTAGTCTATATTGTTGAATTTATTTATTTTAATAAAATAGTGTGTTCAGTTAGTTTCGCAAAGGATTTAGATTGAAGAAAGACTCTATTGTTATCTATCTAAAATTTCTCTACTATATTATGATCACAATAGCATAACTAAAGTCTATTCATTTCTCAATTAGTCAAATATAACAATTCAGACAAAACAAAATCTCTCATTTGGAGAGATCTGTCAACCCTGGATTGGAACCAATTATTATCGGGTAGAGTGCCAGTCAGATACGATCATCATATTTCTATTTTGAACTTTCTGCTATTTTTTGAAGTTTTCATGTGGGAAATGATATTATTTTCGTTGAGTTCGAGCCAGAAAATCGCGGAAACTAATAGTAGAATTATTAATCTTGGTTTTAATAAAAATCTCGATCCAATGATGATAGCTCAGCAACAACAAACAATTAATTGAAATTCTTTCAGATGTTTAACTTGATAGAAATTTATCTGTAGCCATTATATCAAGTTAAACAGCGCACGATAGTTAAGGATACTTCGTTCGAAGATATTTTCCATTAGAAAACTTCTCTATCAAGAAGAAGATATTCTAGATGAATTAATCACGCTCGTATATGACTCTATCTCGAATCATAAGTCAAACTTTCGAGTCTACTATGGTCATCGTAAACAATCATCATGAAAAGTCATTTCTAATGACTATCCTAATATATGACGACTATAAACATCATTGAGATATTATTATAAAGTCTCGTATTCACTAACTCTAGACACATTATTAAACGATTGTTATTGTCTATCGCATCTATTCTTAAACAGTGATTAACGTCAGCAATTTTCATTCCTTCACGACGTAGAAAACAACCCAATGATTCAAATTGCATGATACATTACTATTGATCGACATTGATTGTTCAACATTCTATCTAGGAAATATGTAATAAAGCTGTCAATCATAAAACAAGTGAACCTTCACTTGTAGTCATTGTTTCGATTGTTTATCATGGGATTTTGTTTTTTAACACCAAACTACAATTGTAGACATTTATGGCTCGTAGGCGATCATCGTAATGATAGACGTCATATAACAAAAGAAAAAAACTCCATTAACAGTTTTCATTTTGATCGCATGAAATAACCGATGATAAAGTGAATATGTTGATTAATTTGAAGGCGTCAAATCTAGGCATAGTCTATTTGAAAAATAATAATATAATCAGACTCTTCCTTATATTATTATCTTGATTATGGATATTCTTATCTATGTTTAGATACTCTTATTAAAAGCTTTTCTTGAAAAGTAGTCTCTAATGATTAGTTTACTCATCAGTGGTATGTCGAGTTTATCTTTTTAAAGTCAGCTACGTAATACTATTTTATTGTTTTGATGTCGTCTTAAATGATATACTATGTACAAGACTTTCTTTTGTTCAGACGTTTAGAAGATAATTACTAAAACGAAAAATTCAAGTGTATCATCCTATTTCTATTGTTTTTTACGAAAAAAAAAATTGTTCTGAACCTCTTATATAGAATGATATGATTAAATGCCTTATGTGATTAAAAAGCTTATCGGAAGAAAACTGATTTGAAATTTGTTCAATAAAAGTGAAAGGTTTATTATAGATATTTTCAAGTATTTCCAAATATGTATCGAGACTTTTCAACGAAAGTATTCCAATGTTTTTTAATAGAAAATAAAGAAAGAGAAATTTATTGAGATGGTAAAAATCGAATGAAAATGTCTAGAAGTTATAATAAGATACGTTGAAAAGAATCTATTTTCTCAATGTGTTCTAGGTAACTATCGTTAACTCATGTAGAAAGATACTTGAATTGTAAGGATGATAAAGATTTGTTTTGATAATTATCAATAAATATACTTATGATAATGTTGATCAAATTATAGACTGAACTATAGAATGGTGAATGTCTTATGATTTTGCAATATATTTAAAGATATTTTATAGATTCTATTATTAGAGATATTCATTGTAAAATATCTCTAATATAAATTTTTCTTTTTCAAATAACAAAATTATAATACTGAATTATGATAAGTCTTTGTTTGTTCTTGATCTATTGATAAACTCGATAGAATTTCTCAATAGATCCATGCATACTAACAATATATGTTCGCTGAAATATAATAATAAATAATAAAGAGTGAATAAATAAATAAGTTCCGGTAGTCGTTGAGTAATAGAGACAAGAAATAAAAGTTTGATGGTATCCTCAATTAATGTCTCTATTTATATATTTATTTATTATAATGAAATAAATAAAGATAAGAATATAAATGTCAATATTGAATATTTCTATGATTTATTGCATTAAGTTAGTCTTTATTATTATTATTATTTATAAAAATGAAATAAATATTAAAAATTTGCAAAGTATTTAAAAATAAAGAATAAATTAACTTATTGAGTTATTGATTATATTGTTAAAATCTTCTTTAAGACATTTTAATACTTGATCTTGACATTCGGATGGAAAATTATGATGTCCATCAAACATTCGAACACGAAATAAATCTTTTTTTGTTGTTAATTCTTTCCATCTAAATATTAATAAAAAAAAACAAACAATAAAAGTAAGATTATTTATTTATTAAAGAAAATCTATATTACGTATTTAAAAATGGTTCTTTAACATTTTCTTCTTTTTCTCCACCGTAAACAATAATTGGAATATCTAATGAAGTCGAAGGTAATAATTCATTACCAATCTAAATTAAATCTTAAGTTATTATTTTGAATATAAATATAATTAAAATAAACCTGTGCATCAGCTTTTAATATAGGTATTAACATTTCAACAAAAGGCGGAAAATCATAAACTTCTCGTGTTTTAGGATCTATATTAAGAAAATTCTTTTGAATAAATATCTTATAGAATAAAAAATGTAATAGACCTGCTATTTTCTTTAACTCTTCAACAATTTCTGTATCGGTCATACAAACAAAAGATTTATCAGGATCTAAAGATATTATCTATAGATTATCAATATTTATTATAAATTGACAAAAACCTTGTAAATTAGGTGGTCCTCTTCCCATTTCGACTAATAATTTAATTAAATATCCTTTATTATTTGTTTCAATCATATGTCGAGCTAATGCAAAATTAATTACACTTCCAATACTTAAATAATACATAAAAAACAAAAAGAATGTAAGTAAATGCAAATAAAAAAAAAAAGAAATCTCATACCTATGTCCAATAAAAATACATGGTTTTGTTATATAAGGTAAAAGTCCTTTATTCAATTCAATAATATATTCTTTAATATTGGTTAATAATTTTTCACCCATTCTATTTGATCTTCCAGGATAAATTATTAACGAAAATTCATATTCAGGAAAATGTTTACTCCATTCACGATAACATGAACCTAAAATAAAAGCAAAGATTAACAGAATTTTAAATATATTATATTATACCTGGACTACCAGCTGCTGGAAATATAAATACTTGATATTTCGCTGTTGGACATGGATGACAAATGTCAAACCAAGGATGAATTTTATTCAAACTACTTGCCATTAGATTTTTTTCTAGAAGTTAACTATTTTCAATGATATACAACTAAAGATCAGTCTTTTTATTAAATTATTAATTATGAAAATCATTAAGAAATAAATTGTCTAACAATTCAATAGATTCTTTTATCACAATGAAAAACTCGTCATTTACTTAATAATATTGGCCTTCGATCATCGAAGAACAAATAATATCCTTTCATATAGAAATACCGAATATGTTTTTCCACTGATACGTAACATAAGAACAACCTTGTTTTAGAAAAAAAAACCTTCAAATTATACTCAATACAATTCGATTAACTGTACGCGAAAATTATTAAATACGCCAATATATATTAATTAAATTTTCAATATTTGTCTATCTCATTTATATTTGCCCTTGTTTTTAATAAAAGTTAATTTTACTTTTACGAAATTCAAATAAAGATAATAATTCAAAACATCACACGAACTAAAAAAACTAAATAATTCAATTTAATTGGTGTTTCTATCTACCAATATAAATAGGATTGTTTAAAAATCCTTCTATACAGTGTTTCGAATGATGAGTACACCAAGCAAAATCAAAGTGAGTGCGTCACGCACGTATTGTGATTTGCACGCTGTTTTGCACTTCACTCGAAACAATAGAATGCACATGCTGCACTCTATTATAAGATTTTTCACTTTGTTTTATCTTTTAATTTATATTAGTTTTTTTCATTTTTACAATGAATTTTCTTATTTATTATGTTTTTTTGATTGAAGTAAATAGTCTTTTCTTATTCTTATTTCAGATAATGAACAAAGAACAGTCATATAAACACTCAAACAACGTTTCTAGAAAAGTTTTTAATTCAGTCTACCAGATCTTCATTCGATCAATCAAAAGAAAATTCAAATAATAGTAACAACCAAATGACTTCGAAACAGAGCTGTCGCAAGCGAGGATCACTCCCCTAATCTTTATAAATTTTGTTTTTTTTGCCTGAAGGGTTTTCAAAAATTCTAGAGAAATCTTCAAAAAATTTTTTAAAATTCTTTAAAAATGATCAAAAATTTCCGAAAAATCTTCAAAAGTCTTTGAGAAATCTAAAAATAATTTCTAAAATCTTCAATTATTTTCAAAGATCTCAAAAAATTTTCATTAAATTTATCAATTTTTTTTTCAAAATTTCGATAATTTATGTACACTTTTGAAAAATTTTTCGATCCTAGTCTTTAGCACCTCGCAACAGTTCTGCTCCGAAATTTTATTTATTTTCAGTGAGCTAGAATGAAATTCTAGATGTACAGATAGTCCTCATCGCTGATTTTATTTGTGTTAACCTTGTGATTCAATGATGATTTGTATTTGTATTTTTCTTTTCGAATCTATTTGTAAATTTTGTCACTAAATGACGATTTACATGTGTTTTTTATTATTATTTATATATTATTCATGCATATAGAAGTCTAGAGTATGGATTATAAACTATTATTTCCTTTTTCTAGACGCATTTATACATTTGCATTTTGTTGCACTTTGATTCTTGAAACGGAGTGCAACTGTTCACCTCACCTGTTGAAAAAGAGTGCGGGTTCTCACTATATTTCGAATTCTCATTCGGAACACTGAACTTCTATGATTTGTAAAAGTAACGTATAACATAGGATTTCATATAAAATTAACTGATAAATATTAAAGCAAGAAAATATATATGAAATCGATATTATTATGAAAACATTTGTCAAAATAAATTTTTATTGTTGATCAACTCAATTTTGACTATAATAATAAAAAAAAATAGTTTAGTAATACGTTTCACAGTTAAGACAAATATATTCTATGAGTTAAATAATTGCCTGGATTTTCGAACATATATTCTAATCAATGTCAGAAAAATCAATTGTCATAGGCACAATTGAATTTTGATGACAAGATTATTTTCTTTTCATAGTAAAGTGCAACGAGTTTGTTTTTTTTTACTCGTCATATTCTTTTATTGTATGCATCTTTTTTTTCTCTCATGATATGAGAGATTTGCAACGTTCGTATGCATTTTAAAATCGATTATTATCGTCCATCGTACTCTGTAACTTCGTCGTTTCATTCAGCGTTTTCACTATGACACTACAAAAAAAGTCCCACCAGGCGAAGGTTTTTGAAGAAAAAATGACAATGTATCATTTATCAGATGTTGCATTTTCTCATCATTGATTATTTCGAAATATATAAATAAATAAATTGAAGCATTGACTTTCACACTATTTTTGGAAATGAATTCTCTTGTGACTGTATTGCTGTTGGTTGTCTTCGCTGCTATCTGTAATGCAAAAAAGCCAAGTGGAAGCCAATCTGCTTCTAGTTTATCTTCGTCTGCCGGATATAGTTGTGGAGGTATTTCACCATTAACTCTCGTTGGGCACGAACGGGTCGATCAGACACAATAGAGATGTATATTGACACAAGTAGTTGTCGATTTCCAAATACTCCAATGTATTTCACAAGTATATCGAGTGATGCTGGTCATTATCTTCTTGTTGGTGTCAATGCTATTTATGAACCAACCAAAAATGGATTTATTATTCGTGTTCATTCAACAAGTAATGAATCAGCTGATACACTCATGGCTTGGTCAGTTCAATATAAATGGAATGTTAATTGGTTCGGTTTTTCACCTTGAATAAATCAATTGTTGTATTGTTCTATTTAAATAAATCAGTGTCGAGACTTCTTTAAATATTTATAGATTATTTTCAAATAATTGCCTCTTAACAGAGCATATATACTGATTGATTATTCGAAAAACAAAATCGAGCATCTCACAGATATATCTTTACAATACAATACTATTTATAAAAATATTTAATGTGTAACATCATCAACTATAAAATTGGTTAATTTTTTTCAATTAAGATCTCCTATTGAAACAAAACAAAAGTATTTAACAATTTTTTTTAGTTGAAAAAGAAGGAAAAAATAATTTTTCAAAGTATTTTTGTTGTTTATCGATAAAAGATATTAATCAATAAGAAAAGACTAGTGTTTGTTTCGTATCTGCTAATATAAGGCGTAGCTTAATTTGAATAGTTGCATATAGTTGAAAATGGATGATAATGTGTTTGTACTTAGACCGTTGACTGATGTAAAGTGTGATTATTTAACGAAATACGTTCTAAAAAGATGCCGTATACATATGTAAATGTTTTAATTTAAGATGATAATCTCTTAAATGATTAAATATTTATTTTATTAAAATATCTCAGAGTTTGCCACAAATTGAGATAAAATATTCTCTTGAAGTATGTTATATGAAATGTTTTATTTCGATGATTTATTGTTATAATAGTGTCCTAAATAGAATTAGCTGGACAACAATAACGAACTTTGTAATCTTGACAGATTCTGTCCTTATAAAAGTTGATTTGTTGATTTAAACATAAAAATCCATCTTTGACAGATATACGAAATGCGTCTCCAGTAGTTGCTGGATTTGCATCATATGATGTTTGACCCTAGAAAATAAAAATAATAATAAGAAGAAAAAAAAATGTTCGTTTAATGATAAATAATATGAAATATTGTCAATACTTCAATAGCAGTTGGTGATGAACACATAAAATTAGGAAACAATTTTTGAATATGACTTGTTATTTCAACATCACCTTGTGACAGATTCGGATCATTTGTGTCAAACCATGTTGACCATTTATAATTGTCTGTACAACTTGCTTCAGTAAATATACTAGGATCAAATATACCTTGTTGAGATAAAACACCATTGAATAACATAATGAAGAAGATCAATATGATATACATTTTCATTTATGTAATATATTTACGAGAATATTCTTATTGATAAAATAACCTTTATGGAACGAAAATAGACATTAATATAGGCTGTTAACTAAGCCTATCATCATCATCATCATCATAGAATATGTGCAATGGGATTGAAATTTGAGACAATCAGGAAAATAAGCGTATTTTTGTTATTTGCTGCCTACTCACTTCAATAAAATGAATAAGACTAAGAAAATTGATCTAAAGATTTAATCGTTAATATATCAAAACACATAAATATCACGTGAATTTTTGCGTTTTTATTGTGAAAATAATGAAATTACTCAAAGAAAAAAAAAATCTAATGATTACTCACCTATCAATTTAAATTATTTAAGTATTTGAAAACAACTCAATACATGCGAAATCTAGACATATTTATGTAAATTTTTTAACAATCAAACCGAAGAAAATTTACTCAGAAATAATTTTATCTGATAGTTGAGTCAGTTCATTTTAACTTATCGTTAATAAATATGATAAAATTTCATGGAAAAGAGTCATTTAAATTAGAATTTCAATTCGAAAAACTAGGAAAAGAAAACAAATATAATAGAATAAGATTATCCTGAATAAAGTCATTCGTTTGATATCTTTATTGAATAAATGAAACATAATACTTTATTTGCTTTCTATTAACTGTGTATTTTTGAAAAATTGCAACTAATATAAGAGCGACTAATGAATCTATCACCCGAACTAATATACACTGCCGTTCGTTTTCATGTCTCTTTGAACTCGAGTCAATATGGTTTTAATGAATTTTCGAGCCAATTTTTGAAGGATACTCAATATTAAAACAAAACAGGATTTTAACATTAAATAGACCATATATATTGGTCGAATAATCCGTAGAATATCGAAAAAGTTTCATCTGAAAACAATATTCTTTTGTCAACATATCGAATTTCAATAAACTAATTGATTTTCATAGGTATTAGACTAAAATCGATTTTACTTAACAATTCAATATTTCAACAAAAAATATGATTTGAATCATTAGACCTATCTATGGACCAAATTTTACATGGAAATTCTGCTTTTGATTTTCCAGGAAATATATTAAAATCGATCGAAAATTTATTAAAATGAGCATAAATCGACTGTAGATGCTGATGAAATAAGTAGTTTTAGACTTTTGCTAGTTTCATTAATGTATCATTGTCAATACAATATGAACTCAAATGGTGAATATCAATTCGATAGTTAACTTAGAAGAATTCGTTGAGAGTAATGATAAACTGTCAACGAACTTCACTGAATCTACTACAATCTATTCAATAAATAATCAAGAAGATTTTTATTCATACAGTTTAATCTTAACCTTCTTTGAGCCATTAAAAAAAATCAATTTTGAGATCTTTATAAAGTCGAAATCTACTCAGAAACGTTGATTTTTATTCTAAATCAACTCATTTATGGAAATCAATCGTTCTATTATATCTATCAATAATAAAACAATCTATATATTAATTATATATATATATATATATAGATTGTTTCGCTTTGACAATGAATATATCTATTTATTCAGCATTTCGATTATTTTTGACAACATTCTCTCGAATTATAAGGCCGTCTTGATGGCAGAAAAATCAACGATAGAGTAGAAACTGATCTAATAGAGAGTAAACCATAGCTATTTACTCGATCAGATGACACCTCTATGTCGAATTATCTCCAGCTAAAAAATATGTAAATTCGTAAGATAAACTCCATATTCTGCTAATTCGACATTCAAATATTCAATGAGTATACAATTTGTATAAAAGATAAATAAATTTCTACAGTCAGGTCTTTTGTTTGATTGTTGTTTTCTAAATGATTAAGTCATACTCGTATGAATATTATAATTCAACAACTATCTTTTTTTGAATCTCTATACAGTTTAATGAATATTCCAATTAGTAAAGTTTTAAATAAAAACTACCCATCATATTGTAAACTTAGTGCTCAAAAAAAAATTTTTTTTCTTTCACAAAAAGATGTGAACTTTATTAGTACAAATAGATAAGTGTATTAAATGTTATAATATTTAACTGTTATACAAGCAAAGCTTTGATGAACATAATCGGGCACATCTTTATTCAAAAAATATATGCATGAGTTTGTACAGATTTCATAGATGTTTACTATTCTGTTAATTGTTCAATTTACCTTTATAATTGTCAATTATATTCTAAACAATATCCAGTTTAAAAAAAAACTCAGCTGATAATAGTTTTATCAATAAAGTAATTATTTTCAAAAAAGAATTCTGAAATCCATAATCAAGTCTAGTCTTTGATCTCGCATCGATATGATTATGACCACGACGACAATTTTGACCAAAAAGGATGTTAGCTGATAATGATTAGATAAATATCTATATTTTTAAAGAGTTCGTCAACATTTAAAAAATATTTGTTCAAAGACATTGATATATACGTTTTATCTAAATCATCGATCGAAGTTCTTCTAAGAATTGCACAAAATTTGTTATAACCTAAAACTATTCTTGTTTTATAGAATTGATATATAAAAATGAGATGGATAGTATCTTATGTTGACTAACAATATAACCAGTTTAATATGAATATTAATCGTCCTTATGTTTGTTACATATAATAAACAAGAATTCAAAATTATGTCTCTGCATTAGTTATCTATTCATTTAAATATTTACAAATAAAATTCAAACATGTCATTATCGTTTATTGATCTTCGTTCTGATACCGTGACAAAACCAACGGTCGGAATGCGTCAAGCAATGTTCAATACCAATGTTGGAGATGATGTTTATGGTGATGATCCAACTGTATTAGAATTACAAGAAATGATAGCGAAATTATTAAAAAAACAAGCAACATTATTTGTTCCATCGGGAACAATGGTAAATCTTATTTCTATTCTCAATCATTGTTCACAATTTGGTTCAGAAATGATATTAAATGATGAGTCTCACATTCACATATAAGAACAAAGTGGATGCGCATTTCATGATAGTAAAGTGGCTTTTCCACATGTCTATCGTAGCCTGTGAGGCAGTCAGAATAATATGTTGAATGTCTGCTACGTTTTATGAATCAGGCTTAGAAAAAGAGCTTTCTCTTCTGGCCATACAGGGTATTTTTCCAGTTCTAGTCAAATTTTGATGTGTATTCTTCACGTTATGTAAAGACTTATAAATGCTTCGAATCTTTTGTGTTACAATAAACAAACCAAAACTAGACATATGTATCTCAATTTTCATCAGCAAGCTGTCATGTTCGGGACACTATTTCTTTTGGAAGGAATTCATAACATGAAGATTTCTGCATATATAAAAATGTCCATCAGACTCAATGTTAACGATACTGTTACCTTCCAAAATATAAGTCTCTTTCATGATTCTCTCTACATAACAATATATGTGGTATGCTTGGCTAGTTGTCTAATTTTGATATTTCTTCTTTTGCATGTTGAGATGGATACCTATTATTAACATACCTAACAACTAATACCTCTAGGTAATGCAAGCCTTCTCTTTGGTATCGAGACGGATACACATCGGCAACATCTCTTGTTTGGTTGATCATTCAAGTATGAAACAAGATTTAATCTATTGATTGAATATGCTTGATCAGATCTGATGAAATGAAAGAATTGACTTAATCGAAATGCATAGTATTAGTTATCGAGAAGTAGTTGCGCAGTTGATTCTTTATGGTAATGTAATGATGTGAAAAAAAACATACGAATGCGACGTTACATCGATTTCTCATGGATGATAAGAAACATTATGCCTGCATTAAACTTGAGTAAACTTGTTATAATCCTGTTTTCAGTCATCGTAGCGATACGATAAACAAGCTCAAGTAGTACTTTCGTAACAAGCTATCGGCCGAAACCTAGATGTATATATTTTTGCTTTGACATAAACATGCAATAGTGACATTCATGTTATATGAAGAGAATCCTATGTTTAAATTCAATATACATATATTATTCGTCTCTTAATAAGTACCCTATGGAAAATATTTTTTTCCCCTGTTCTTTCTCAACTGAAATTGTCCTACAGGATGTGGATGAATGTATTTTTTGCTGAGACTGACCATGAATGTAAAGAGGAAGCCAGTATTCACTCATCCGACGTATTTGCATCCTCAAGACCGTTGATAATACAAGATTTCGAGATACATTTCGATGAATTCTAACAATAGTAAAGTAACAAATGCTACAATGTACATGCTTTTGATGATCGAATCGAACAATCACGATAAAAGTATTCAACTGAACAAATGATCAATATCCAATCATTTAATCGAATTACTAATCCCAAACTCATCTGATAATCATGTTCACCACTTTTGTCTCTTTGATGAACTATTCGTATCAAAAATTTGTACCGTTTTCTATTTTAACACATGTAATCAGCTGCCACAGTTTATTCAATATTGAGATTGCTAAAGTCGTTTGGTTGATATAAAAGACGTGCATGACCGAAACGAATCGATTTTGCTAGACACTGAATGACCGAATCACAACTATTTAAATAAATGATCAAATTGATTGATTGAAAAATCATCAGGCACAAAACATGCTTCATTGAGTAGGCGGTTTTCGTCAAATAAACTATAGTTATCTAGCATGAGCAAGACAAGTGAACTAGAATATACATCAATTAAGACAATTAATGATTACGCTTATTGTGACATTGATCAAAATTCCCCACACATTGTTCATTATCTTATAACAATGCTCTACCGTCGGTCGACATATATGTTTTGTACAACGGAATGTTAGTAACAATATACACTGATTCAAATAATTGTAGAAGTACTTTATATCCGATCGATCAAGATATTTGCCCATCAAATTATCGCTATCGAACATTTTTCGGGGAATACATTGTGTCATCGATATTCGTTCTCATAGCGTTCATTCAGTTTCAGATAGAAAAATTTCGCTTTATCAACACTCTACAATACTCTAAGGTAGGTGATCACAGGAAAATAGTCAACACATGAAATGCTTTCTATTTCTCATTGCTTAGTTTCATGGGGTCAGCCATAAAGAATTGAATGCCGAAATTACCACATATAATATGCTGAAGATAGACAGGTACGAGAATAGATCTCAGATTGAAGTGTCTATAGATGATTGGACACATGAAAATGGATCTTCTCTTCTTTCACTCATCCTACATACTGAGATTCTAATAATGGAGTTCGTTCATATCATGGCAGTATCTGTATCAGTTTGGCTATACTTTTTTTTATCATAAAAGATATTTTTCGGCTGAAATTTGCATAATTATTACTGATCAGAAAGCTTCCTATTGCTGAAATGAGGATATAAGTGGAATATGACCAGTATAAGAGTCGTTCTTTTTACTTATATCCACTGCTTCAGCCGACACACTCTCAAATGTCAATTTAACTATATTTCTCATGAATATTATGACTCTGCTTCTATTTTGGAAGAGAAAAAAGTTCCTAGTGACAGAAAGTAAAATGCACTATTCGTATATTGCTTATCAAAGTTTTTCTGCGCAAATAAATGCATCGATTTTAATTTACCTTATGCAAATACACAATTTGTTTCATGAAAAAGAATATAAAGAACGTAGAGCAAACAACTTCTATTTTAGTCTCTAAGGTTGATTCATGCGATACAAACAGAGCATACTACCTTTTACTTAAGCGTAATAAGTAAACCAAACTCCTTCATCTAAATTGCTTCACGAAATAAAATGACTGAGATTGCATTCTCTAGTGACGCTCTAAATAGAATCTGTATTGCATCAAAAGAATCGACTCCTGTCTTATTCATTGAATTGAAAAACGCTATTGATTTTATTTTGTATTTTGCATGATGCCAAGCAGGTTCAAATAAAATTATTCATGTATAAATAGCAGAGTAAATGTTTTCAGTCACACCGGTTCTCTTTACTTCTACTCAATAGTCGTTATTTCATTCCTCTATACATTTCTTTTGGTTTCTCCTTAAATCGAGTGATCGTCATAAATAAATACTTTGAGATTGGATATTGACAAAAGTTTAGTAATACGATAACTTATAGGTTGTCACCATATCAGGCGCCTCTAACGGTACTACATAAAACAATATTATTGCAATCACTAGTTTCGTGAGCAACTTCACTACCATCAAGCATCATGGCTTTATTACGATCTACTAGTACCCAAGAATCTATTCAGAAGAATCCAATTCGTGTTGCTATTCGTCTCATGTTTCAACGTATCGGTGAGTTCACCGTTAAAAGTTATTGCTGTTAAGTAGAATTAATAACACTAAACAGATTTCAAATCAATCAGGGTGTGGCTATTTATTCAGTTTCACAGTCTTGATAAAAGGCGAATATAGAAAAGTTACTTTTTCACAGTTGTACCTTTTTTTTGAAACATGATTGATAATGAATGTTGAAGTATAAAGAGAGAAAGTTGGAATCACCTTGCTCTCCATAGATCATTACAGAAAGACAGTATGGGTCGATCAGTTCCATACACTAAAATAAAATGTGTTACATGTATCGTACTTTGCAACACATTCCGTCCGGCAACGACACAACACATTTTTGTATGACATATGCGACACATTTTGCAAACGTGGTTCGAATCTAGTATTCAGTACATTTTTCATTTTTTTTTTCTATGGAAGAAAGTAAGGATATTTTTTTTTCAAGTTAACTCGAATTAAAGATCTCTATTTTTAAAATTCAAGGCGGTCAAATCTTGAGATCTAGTCATCTCAAATTTGTCTGATCCCGATCAGATCGCTTCAAGACAGTTCTGTCTCGCTCAACGAGCAATCTGTTGAAATGTTTTCGATCAATAACTAATTGAGAAATAATCTACAAAAAAACTATATATATATATATATGAAAATACATAAGTTCAGCATGTTCAATTGAGTTGGCTATATCTAGTTTTATGTGTAAAACAAAACGCAGACAGGCACGGCACTTCCATAATATGACATATTCCAATTGCGATATATTTTCGTAGTCGAGTCTGCAATACCATAACTAACGACACATTCTATTTCAGTGTACAACTCACAAATTTTAATTTAATGAGTTGATGATCTATTCATACAGATCAGTTCTTGAAATTGAACTGTATAAAATAATTTTTTTCAGTTGTGAAAATGATATTTCCAGTAACTAAACAAAAGTTCTTTATAACCGTAAGTATTATTTCCAAAAACCAGTGCAAAAATTTTTCAAACAGTTCATTTCTAGGACTTGAACTGTTCGAACAGGTGAAGTCAGGCCAGAGAACGTTTTCATTAGTTTTTCAGATGGAAACTAGAATGATAGTCCAGACATCACAGATCAAGCTAGATAAAAATTACTTATTATTAGAGTTTTTCGAGCTTGTGATTACTGGATTTTCAAAAGATTTTGTGAAACACGATTAGTAATGAGTGTAGAGTTTTATAGAAAGAAAATAAATGCCTTCTCTTCAGACTGTGACAGACATTGAGAATCTAAAACGTTTTCCATTATAAAAATGTTCGATATGTTTAGAACGTACATATAGGAATGGAAAGAATCCATTGTCTTTCTGATTTTAATTCCGTAATGATTACAATGAAAGTTTTTCCCTTTTAAGGCGAAATCGATACATTGACTGAAAAATATCAAGCACAAGCATCGATCGAAAGTCGTTGGATAGTTGAATTATCTAATATATTACCAATTCTTTCTCTAACTGATCAACGCAATTTGAATATTGGAAAATCTGTATCCCTTGTAAAATATGCCGAGATTCATTGGCATCCTCAATTATTCATTGAAAATGCTCTTGGAGATCTGAAAGAACAAATAAGATATAGTGCAAAGAAAATCTCAATTGATCGAGTCTGTCTATGTGAACATCGTGACATAAAAGGATTATTTTGGGAAAAACTTGAATTACATCATTTTCCATCTGATATTCAAGAATTAACAATTTCTATTGGTTCATTACTTTATGATGACAAAGTAGTACTGATTCCTGATCCATATCATCATAGTGGAATAAATCGAGAAGCATTCGTCGATCAACAAGAATGGTCATTATATGAACATGTTGATGCAAAGCAACGCTTCATTCGCGAATATTCTCACAATGATAATGATGAAGAAAATGTTGAAATGAGCTCGAATGAAGACCGTAGACGTTCACTTGTGTCTGTATCTTGTTATGCAGGTTAATCTTCTGTTAAGTATAATGATTCAGTTGTTTGACTAAATTTTTTCTTTGTAGCACGTCGTTCTGGTTATTTCTATTGGAATGGTTATTGTTTGATTTTTCTTATAACTGTTTGTGCCTTTAGCATATTTTCAATGCCACCCAAGTATAAACTTCTAATGCTACTAAAATATTTTTTTTCCACTCGTTTTCTCTTTATTTTGATATTCGTTTAGTCTACCTCAAAATCGTCTTCAAACTGGAGCCACTCTTCTTCTAACTTCGATTACTTTTCGTTGGACAGTAAATCGATCTCTCGTAAGTTGACATGATATTCGGAAAAAAAAACTTATTTTATATTAAACAAAAGTTTTTAAGTGGCTTCTATAGAAAAATATTCAAATTTTTTTTTTATTTCATATAAAAAAAATATAATAAATAAATTGTTAACTTCTTTATCTCTTGAAAAATAAAGTTCTAGTTTAATAAATTATATTGTAGCCAACAATATCCTATTTGACATCGTTGGATCGATATGCTATTATTTCAATATTTATTCTTGTTTTCTTGTGTATGTGGCATGCTATTATCGGTGCTATTATTTTCATTGATAAACGATTTTCAACAACTATTCCAGATGATCGAAATGCTTGGATAGATCGATGTGTATTTTTTGTCCTTTTTACTTTCTACATTCTCATGCATGTGATCATGTTCATTTGGCTATATCGAGTACCACTTGCTCGTAGACGAGAAATGAAACAAAAAGATCTACAACATAGAGAAAAAATTCGCAAGCAATGGAATGAAGAACAATCGGTTATGGAAGAACATGTCCTGGAATTATCGAATCAGAACAAAAACAAAAACAAATATGTACCATCTGAAGTCGTCTTATAGAAATAGAGATACTCTTCGATAGCTGGAATTTAATAAAATATCTACGAATTTTATCTTGAACTATTTAACTTGAAGTTGATTTCTGAAAATAGAATTAAATTATATTCTATGTATCTAATCTATTGCTATTTTATGCTTTATATACAGTTCAATTAGTTTTCTAATTTTTTGTGCTTTACTTAATTGATATTTGTCTCTATTCTAATTCATTAAATACATGAACATTATCTAGGATTTTAGAGAACAATCAATAACATCGTTTGGAATTCTTAGTGAACTTTTCATTTGTTTCAGTTTGTATTTCACTATTAGTCAACGTGATAATTATATAAAATTGAGATTAATTTCGATCATTTGTGAATTATGCCTCTTGGAATAGGTATGGATTTATCCTAAACTACAGTCATACCCAAGATGAGATTAAAAAACTGTCAGTATTTTGGATCAACATTCAATAATAAATAGCACTATCTGATAGAATATTTAATTCCTAATCAGCATAACAATTAGAAAGGCAGTAAAAATCTCGAATATAATGTCATCAAGAAATATTCGAATCTGTTATTAAATTTTCTTAGATGAAATTTCGATGTAGAATAATCTAGAATAAATTCTGTTAAATAAATCTTCTGTTCATTAGTAAAATTTTATTTAATATGGTTTATCTCAAAATCATTTCAATTTTTAAACATTTTAACATCAATACATATTTCAATTATTGACATTATTCATCCAGATAACAACCACAAATTCTTATTTCTATAGTTACTATTCTTTCCTCAATAGATATTCAATCAAGGAGTAAAGTTCAGGTACCATATACCAAATTATTTGCAAAGGTGCTCGAAAAATATAATTACCGTCGACGAATGCATTAACGATCAGTAAGGCGAATGGTCCAGATTGAGGTGCTGGTATTGCACATCGTCACCGTTGACACCTGCGAAGAGTCTACATAAGAGTTTCTCGAGTGGAGAATTTATTCTACGATGATTTTCATTCGCGCATTGACTATTTCTAAACAAATCAATATGAAGAATTTGTACATAAATAAGTATATTTCGATATGTTTATGTAATATATAACTTTTCAAGAATTTTATAGAAAGAATAGACTTAATAAAAGATTTCTTTTATAATATCTTCTTCTAACATTTAGATTGAAATTCAATAGAATTAATTTCTATTGAATAATTTATAGCAAATAACATATATTCAAGTATCTATTAAACTTACATTGTTTATTCTTTTGATTGATGATAATTATTGTGTAAAGTAATCAATGTGAGAGAATATAAAATCTATCATAATATGTTATAGTTGTATAGAAACTAGCTTTGTTATTTATAA